GTCTTAAGGAGGCCGTAAAGGTATAGCTGAAAAATAAATTTTCATGGTACTATATAATGTACCATAATGTGCAAATATAATGTATATAATGGTTACAGGCTCCTCGGAGAGGTATGCAGATCTGAGGTCAATTATTGCTTAGTCTGAGGAAGTGATAAACAATAATACAGTCAAGGCGTAGAGAGGGATTATGAAGAAAACTCGCAGTTAGTAGTGAGTAAGAGTGGTCAAGTGCACTGACTCGACTAACCTCAACATAGGAGTAGTACATTTTGTACTAAATAATAAAAATTTTTAAATTACTTTAAAACAATTATATATGTTTTAATTTCGAAAAATGATTTATTTAGTAATTATTTAATTACTCGTAACATGTATAAATTGTCTTTAATAAGAAAGTAATTATTTTTTGTTTGAAATTATGATCCAAATAAACAAATTTATCTTCCTGAATTGAACTGAAAAATTTCTGTTCAATTATCAATTTTTATAATTGCATTTACGTTCCAATAATCAATTGGATAATTCGTTCGCATTCCCTGTGTCCATTTTGCTGTCGTTATCCTTGCCCAATCAATAATTTGGCTACTTGCCATTTAAATTAAATTTCAACATAGCAAAAAGCACATTAAATTGGTTTAATATTTTTTTCTTTATGTAAAATGAAATTTAAATTAAATTTTTAAAATTCAAAAACACAAATACACAAATATTATTTTGAAATTATATAAAAATATGAACTAAATTTATTCAAAAATGTAATTTGGTATATAATAGCATACCCTAATAGATGAATATTAAATGAATATTAAAAATATATTAGGTAATACAGTCAAACTTCTATAACCGGAACTTCAATAAATCGACTTTTCTATAACCCGAACTAAAAAGAGTGCAATAGGGTTTTAGAGAGCAAATTACATATAATTCTGCTTCCATAACTCCGTGCCGATAGGAATATGGGGAAAGTGCCCTCTATAAGTCGAATTTTTGTATTTAGTATGAATTCATAATTGGTGTTAGGGGAAGTCCCTTTTTCCAAACCAAATGTTTGATTTTCCTTTTCTTATGCTGCTTCTTTGTGCAAATGCCAGAACGCTGGTAGCGTGGTTTAAAGTAAATAAAATAACTTCCAATGCTACTCTTAATGATTATATTGAGCTTGACAATAAAATTTGTACATCAAGCTTTTCTACAGATGACGATATTATAGAGCATTATAGCTTTGAATTTGTGGATCCGATTCTAAGGGCAACGGAAAGTGATGATGAGGATTCAGTGGATGAAATAGTACATTAGCCTTCCATGAATGAAGTAGAGGACTCATTTAAAATTCTGAAATTTTTTTACAAACGAATGGTGATCACTATAAGGCTTGAAATAAATTGGAATTTTTTTTTTACTGGAAATAAGAAAAAAAAAATTATAATCCCAAACCCTAATTTCTGAATGTTTTACTTCACTATAACTTTTGTGCTCTATTTGATTTCTATTTTCTTTATTTAGTATCTTATAATTAAATAAAAAAAATAGAATTACATTTTTGATATCTTTAGAGTTTCTATATTTCAACTAAGAAAATTTGTGTTCTCTCATAAATTTAAGAATTAACTTATTTCTTGTCTTGTCTATATCATCTATAAAAGTTTGTGTTATTTATTAATTTAACATTTTACTTATTTCTTTTTATTCATTCTAAGTAATCACATTGCTAAACACTTTTGACATAAAACTAATTATTTTTGTTTTAATAATATTTTAAATAAATTAAATTCTCAATCTCAAACAAAATTGTTGTATTTACGTTTAATTTATTATAGCAGTTCAAAGTATTATTATTATTTAAAATCAAATTTATTTACAGATATTTATTTACTATAATGAAATTTAATTTTATTTCTATTATTCAATAGAAAAAGTAACATTCATTGAGTATTCGATGTGTGTAAATGCTATTTGTGATTTTTTATATATAATTAAAATAAAAATAAAATTAAATACACTGTATTTATCTATAAAATGCAAAGATACTTTATAAAAGATAGAATGCAAAATATTTGTAATGCAAAAAATGCACCAAAAGTATATCATTCCAATAGTATTTTAATTGCATTTACATCAAAGATATACAATTTCACATTTAATATATTGTAAATTGTTTGAAATATTCAAATCTTTTGTTAATGAAACTTTGAAATGTTATTTTTTATTTTTTATGTTTTGTATTTTAATTTTTTCTGAATAAATTTTAATATTATAATATGATATAGTTTACAAAAAAATGTAAAGGTTGGAGTTAAACATAAAATAAATTAATTGGAAATGCAATACAGTTTGAGAAATGAAATTTATTTTTAATAACTACCTAAACTTAAATAAATTTCTACCAAAATAATTGTGAATCAATGAAATAAACTTTAACTTATTAAAGACTTGGAAAAAAATATTTAAACCAACTTCTTAATAGCAAAATAAGTCATTCATCGTTTTTAAAACTTAAAAAAAGTCATGAAATAATTATACCATTTTTTTAAAAATTTTTCTAATAAAAAATATTATTCAAAAAATATACACTGACAAAATCATTTATTTTTGCTAAATTTTAAAAAGAAATATTAATATAATAATAGTAATTTAAATTGATATAGTTTATTCATATGTCTCTCACAGGTCATATTGTAGTACTGTATTCTTTTGAGGTGATTTTCGATTACTTATCGGCACTTAATTGGCAGTAGTTTGGTCTAGAGGTCAATGCTATGTTCTCTAAACATTTTTCTCGCAGATTGAGCAATACATCAAGTTAACATATCTTACTTTGATTCCTAAATCGAAGCTACATGTCTGTAACATAGCTGTCGAAGGACAGGTCTGTTAGCAGTTCGAAATTTCTACTGTTGTGCATTTTTTATCACACTTAATACTATTTTAACTATATTTTTAACTCTGCTCGCAGCGAGTACTTATACCAGATTAACATTCAATTTGCCATTATAAACGTCCATACAAGTCTAAAATTTCACTAATAATACAATATAAATATCACATTTAGATTAAAATATTTTAAAAAAAGTTTGTACATAAATTTTCTCAGATCCTTTAAGGATTTAAAAGATAAAAGGTAAATATAAAATTCTAATTAGCGCATTGTGGCTGAAATAAAATTAGGCAGATTAATTTCAAATCTTTTAAAAATTAACCACAAAATGATATTTTAAAAGCCCATTAATAGGAAAAAGTGAATTAAAAAACAATTAAATCTGATTTAATACACATAAAAGGAAACGTCTTGCTAAAAGGACAATAAATTACAATATAAATTAATTTGAATTCAAACAAACCTTATTAGCATTAATGGTGTAATTAAGTCGAAGAATAAAGAAAGATTTCGTAATTTTCCTGAGTTATTTTTTATTCTTAGTCCTTTTGACTAAAAAAAAAATTGAAATTTTTGCAATGCAGAATTAAAATTCAATTTATCACAATAAAAACAAATAGAAAATTATTAAGTGAAATAAAAAAAAATTTTTTTTATATAAATAAATATTTTTTATTTTAATAATTTTATTATAACCAACTACGTGTGAATGCTTAAAAAGTATGTCCTTAGCATATCCTCTTGAAATCTACTTAAAATTTCCTACTCACTCAAATGACTTTCAGCATTGTCAGTTACAAACGCTTCGTAACTAACCACAAATATCCACTTGAAAATTAAAAGGATACATAAATCACAGGATAAGTGACAGTTTTATATTTGAATTAAGACTTTTTCTGGATTTGTGCTGGTGAGCTCTTAAGGTTTACTAGCAATTTGCATATTTTTTAACTTCTCTTTAAAGTAAATTGAATTTATTTATTTTAGGATTGGTTGCAAGTTTCCACTGAAGTTTCAATAGTTGTTTTAAAAGTTCTGATTTTATTCCTTGAAAAGTTGCATTTCATAGATTTGCAATTTGAGAAGTTAATTAGAAGATGGAAATACTTTTGCATTTCGTTTTTCTGCATTATAACACTATGTGGCACAATCGGATTGGATAAAGGTTTCTGGTATGACCGAGGTGGCACTAGTAGAAAGGTCCCAAACAGTTTCAAGTTAAACAAAATTCTTTTTGCAAAATTCTTATTGTTATTGTGACTGCCCAGCCTTGATCTGGGCCAGAAGAAGGTCACCGGGTCGAGAACTATTCTACCCTTCTGACATTAGGAGGTCCTCAACGGCCGACATTCTCGCTTTCATTCGGAAGGTGGAATTTCTTCTGTTCGGCAACACAAAAGATCAACCATGATCGCAGTGCTTCACTCCAGTGGGAGCTGGTAACCCGTTTATTCTGATTCCAATTGTTATTTTGTTCGATATCTGTGAAATATATTTATCGCATAATTAAGTTGGAAATTGCCGAAAAGATATGGTGTCCGGAGCTCCAGTTATATTATTCAATTATTCAATTCAATTATTAATATGTAACAAATATTCTATTTTTTACTTTTTTTTTATAGTGCCAAATTTTAATTAACAACAACGAGGTATATTGTCTAACAAAAGCTTTTTTAATTTAATATTACAAGTAATGTTACTTATTTAAAGTTAGCATATAAATCAGAGCTAGTCAGCTCTTTGCTGGTTGAAGTGCCTCCAAAGGTCTTTAGTGTTAAAGCGATTTAAGCGTCTATGTAACAACGTAAAGTAATGCCGATATAATGCTGTTTGAGGTATGACTCAGCCTGTCAGGTATTTCAAGGTCATAATGTAGATTAGCATATCGCACATACCACGGAGCGTTAACTGTATCCCTAAGTACTTTCTTTTAGAACCTTTGTGTCATATCCATTATATGATTTTTTGCATAACCCCAAATATGGACGTCATAGACCCATATAGGCTGGAAGACTTGTTT